GACTTGTCGCAGCACTGTCTTCCAGATGAATCTTTCATGCCGTAACAAGAAAGGACTTGTAGAAGGATTGTAACTCCAGATTTATCATTAACAAGGTGACCTACTTCCACGTGTTGATGTGATCCCCTCAGTTTCAGCTGGTCTTAACAGATCATCGTACACACATCTGTCAGACACACTGATTGATCGAGGTGACGATCCTGCAGCAGCTTTTATTTGTTTTTTGTTGTTGGGGTTTGCGTCACAAAAAGTAGTACATTTGAAGTTTATTTTTGCAAGTATACTTTAAGTTAAGTATATCAAGTATACTACACACCATACTTGTAGTGTACTAGAAGTATACTGATTTAATACTTGTTTGGACTAAATTGGGACATTTTTATATTATTTTTAAGTATATCAAATAAAGTTTATAATAAGTAAACTTCAAGTACACTTCCTCATTTTTAGTATAAAATAAGTATACTTGTAGTATACTTAAATAAACTACTTTTTGCTACAGCTAACATCACTAAAATCTGATAATTCAGTAAAACCTACAGGTGACACCAGATTTTTACTTACACAACACGAGAAGACTTTAAAGTCAGAACAAACCTTTCCTGTTTCAGGTCACTTAGGATTCACAAAAATGTTTAAAAATTTCATCGGCACAAATAATGAGAGAAAAAAATACTTTACTTTCTTCATATGTTTACATATTCTCTTAGTATTTGGTAGTGTTGCCTTTAAACTGTATGACCTGAGTCAGACATTTTGGGTTACCTTCCACGAACTTTACAAAAAGTTTGCTTCTCGTTGTCCCGCTCCTCCTGACACAGCTGGTGCAACTGTGTCAGGTTTGGCCGATTTTTAGATCTCCTAAAACTGTAATCTGGATTTTTATTTTGTTTGGGACTAATAGCTTCTTCCTCGCCGAGCGGCCTTTCAGTCCACGACCCAGGACTAGTTTCTCTGTAGATAATGACACGCTCTGACCAGCTTCAGCATCATCACAAAGAGTTTTGTTTTGGGGTTTATATTCACACATTTTGCACCAAAACATCTTGAGAACACAGAACTCGTCTTCTTCCTGAGTGGGAGGATGGCACAGTGTTAAAACAAGTATGACTGTTTGAACATGTGAACGTGGCACTTTCAGGCATCTGGAAATTGTTCCAAAAAAAAAAAAAAAAAAAAAAATTGAGTTGTTGAGGTAAACAATTCCTGGTAGATGCATTTTTTTTTAGATTTTCCCATGATGTCACACAAAGAACCAGTTTGTTTGAGCTGTGCATTGAAATGCATCCACCAGTGTACCTCTAATTGGTATGGTATGGTATGGTATGAAGTTTATTCATTTAAAAAAAAGTACAAAACAATTCCATAACAGTATATAAAAAGATACAAAAAAAATTTAAAATGAAAGGCAGCAGAAAGAAGAAAAAATCTTATTTTATCTGCCCCTTTTTTCAAACAATTATTTCAGACATAATAATTTTCAAGTAACAGAACAAAATGAATAACTTTCTAATTTTTCTAATTCTAATACAGCACTTAAATGTTGTCAATAATAATATAATAATGTAATTTATTTTGTCATTTAACCAATCAAAAGCTTCCATTGTCAGAATGTCATATATTGGCCTTTCCCAAATTGTTTAAAAGCATAGTATTCATAGTGTAAACTTATATTTTTTGAAGAAAATAATGCAAAAAATATCAAAAAAGTTTGATTTAATCTTTAACAACCTCAATAAAAATCTGTTTTTGGCTCTTCTGGAGGTTCCTGACATTATTTTGTGACTTGTTTGCCCGATCAATTAACCTGCTGTGTATGTTTCAGAGTATAAATGTTCTTCATAATTTTTCCAACAGAAGTCAACTTTCAGTGAAAGAAACCTGCAGAACTGTTGGATCTTTAAAGATATTTTCTCATTTGCTGCTTTTCAAGGTAAAATTTTTAATTTCCTTTTTTCATGTTCGCGTTAGCCCCATTTTCAGGGGGACTGCTCTCTTTTTCCTCATGAGAGTTGTCGACTTGTATTATTTTAAAAATAAATTTGAGCTATTTTAGCTTCATGACAAGTTAGCAATGTTCAATATTGAAGTGTCTTTATTAATATTAATGCATTTGGGTTTATTACATTCACAAAATAAGTCGAGAAATGGTGTTTCCAAAGGGCTGCACTTGTTTTTAAACAGCATCTGTCTCCTCTTCAGCGATCCGCTCCTCGTACTTTGTCACGGCACGTGTTGAGGACTGGGTTAGAATGAGTCACCTGCAACATGAGCAAGCAGCTTATGCACGATGACTGCCGGGGACAATCCCCGTGTCCAGACTCCGTAAAGCAGAGGGTGACCAGACTGATGGGGGAGCAGACGTCGGTGCGTTTGTGCCGGCCTGTCTGGTGTCGTGGTCATAGTCTGGGTCACCTAAATACAAACAAAGCAGCTCTTATTCATATCCTCACTTCCTTTAGTTTATGTCTGATCTATACACTGAGGGTATAATAACATTTTTCTTTTCGATTAAGTCTTTATGTTGTGAATTAGACTTAACGTGAAATTAAACTTGACAACAAGTTAATTATATCAATTGAACATGCCACCAATCTTTGTCACAGGTATTTCAGACACTGGAAACTTCTTTCTTTCAGTTTTATTTGCAGTGATGACCTTGCCCCGTCTCACTGAACAATAATCTCATCAATGTTCAAGGACTTATTGTAGATCATGTGGTGTGTTCATATTTAAGTGTTATAGAAGCCTCTAAAGCCGGTCTATTGTCTGTCTGCATGGGAGGAGGCCATCGCTGAGGGATTACAGAGCATTACGTAGTACTTCTGGATTACGCACCGTACCTCGCTGCATATAGGAGGAGAGCTGGACGAAAGGAGCATCTGCACTGAAGCCTGGACAAGTTGATCAATTAAGAAGTAACTTTTTATGAGGATTTCTCATCCTGATGCGTACAGATACTTTGCTCACTTTTGTCCAGATGAGCCTTTTGTCTGAGTTTTTCTTCAGTGATTTTCAGTCCTTTTAATCATTGGTTACATTTGTATTTTCCAAAGTTTTCAAGAAGGTTGAGAAGGGACCACTGGTGGGCAGGAAAAAAATGTATTCAAACAACAGGAAAAACATCTTCAACGCAGAAAAGAGCAAGAAGAACATAAAAAGAAAAACATGTGAGTACCGACACGGAGCTCATGCTGTTTTGCAGCACTTTTTAAAATGATAAACCACCTTTATTAGACTGAACATCATTCTGAAAGAAAAATATTTGATTTGACCACAAATTTCATCCACCTCAGGGGCTCACTTTAAGACAAACCACCAGGAAGACGCCGTCACCTTGACGTCACAAAAGGTGGAAACCAACAAAAAGGTGGAAACCAACAAAAAGGTGGCAGAGGACGAGGAGGTGCAGCAGCAGACAACCTTCGAGAAGGCTCTGTATGACCTGACCCACTCAGAGAGGGCGTTAGATGATCTGATATGCGGTCGGCGGGTGGGGTTTTACGAGCTGAGGGGGGAAATCGGTTCTGGCAACTTCTCCCAGGTTAGACTGGGAATACACGACCTGACCAAAGGTGAGATTTTTACATTTTACTCTGCCATTTTCATAGCTTCTGTGTTGAGTTTATGTGAACATGAGTTGTAGAACGCCATCTTTTAATGAACTTTCTCAAGTTTCTTTGCTTTTGCTTAAACAGAAAAAAAAGAAGTCAAATAATAATAATAATAATTATCAGTTTAGTTGATCAAAGGGACAGTAAGCAGTTAAAACATCTCTGAATAATGAGCAATTGCTCATAAAACACTACCTGTCTTCACTTTTGCACAAATATAATTGGTCAGAACAGTAAAGAATCTTGTGCAATAAGTCTTCATATTCAATAATTTTCATTGAATAAACTGAAAATTATATAAAAAGGTCAAATTTAGCATGTACAATAAAGGTAAAAATGTTAAGCTGCGTTATGGATTAATTAGTGAATAAAATATCACATATATTTTATTTAAAATCTTATAGAAAATTAATCCTATTCTGTTGTTTTCACTACATATTATGTATTTTTGTTTTATTACTGCTCCTTGTGACTCGCGTTGTACAAAATCTAAGGCTTTTCTGCTTATTTAACCGTGTCACAAGTTTAATAGGGCACTCATCTTTAAAACAAATGTGCGTACATCAGTCAGCCTGCATCATCCCACATGTCAGATGATACGTAATCTCATCAACCAGCCCCCACTAATCCATGAAGTTTTCCTTCCTCTCTGCTTTGTGTAACATGACAACTATACTGAGACGTGCTGCGTTAAATAGTTTTATTACCTCAGAATTACAAATCTTGGGATGTTTTTCCGTTCACCTTTTTGATTCCATCTGTGTTCATCTCATAGAGAGAGTGGCAGTAAAAATCCTGGATAAGGGGCGTCTGGGCAAACAATCTCAAGCCCTTTTTGCCTCTGAAATCAGCTGCATGGAGAGGCTTTCCCACCCCAACGTGGTGCGCCTGTATGAGGTGGTAGAAACACTGAGGAGGCTCTACCTGGTGATGGAGTACGCCAGCGGAGGGGAGCTGTTCTCCAGAATCACCATCAGAGGGCGGCTGTCGGACCTGGAGAGCAAGCTTGTGTTTTCCCAGGTCCTGTCTGCAGTGAAGCACATGGTGAGGAAGCTACTTCAGTGTTTGGGCGTTGTGTTTAGTTGGAAAACGAAAGTAGAAGAACTCAGCCTCTTTGTCATATGTGTAAAGTTTCTATATAAATATATTTTAATAGGAATAGCTGGATTTTAGTCTTTACAGGGGTTCTCAAACTTTTCCATGCCATGGCCCTTAAAACAGCATTAGTTTCTGGCCGATTCATAAACTTTGACCAAAAATCCCCTCTTCTATATGTTTGGAAGAGATGGAAGAGGCAAGGGGCGTTGGTTGCAATCTGCAGCTAAGCCACTAGGTGTCTGAAAACCCCACATATTTGGCCATTTTGATTTTTTTATTTTGAAATTTTTTTTGTCAAAAAGTTGTTTTTTTAAATACTTGCTCAGTTGTGACATCATTTAAAGAGCACAAAGTATGAAAACAAGTCATCATCCAGGCTAGGCTAATGGCTAGCTAAACAAAGGCCTGTGTTTCTAGTTTTCAAGCTTATAAAACACTTTTTGAAAAATAATTTCCCGCTGTGAAAGAACTTCACATTATTTAATTTTAACCATCCGATCCATTCAGCAGCCTCAGAATAATCAACATGTAGCACTATCACCTATGCTCAGCACACTTTCATTCCAGTAGTAAGAAAAGGTGTTTAGTAGAAAAAATGTCATAATATTAAAACTCTACACTGTTGCATTAGCTAACGCAGCTGTTTTTCCCACTGGTATGTCATTGTTGAGAAATGTTGTTTTAATAAACCTGAAAAATCACAAAACAGACTATTACTGGGCTGACCTCGAAAGCTTTTTCTCTTTTGCCTGTACTCCACACTCTGGGATGTCATGGCTGATAAAGTACTAACTACCGATCACTTTTTGAAAGAAAATCACTTCACCAATAACCAAACTATTTTTTCCGCCCTTTTTAGGTTGTAGAGTTTTCAAAACAAAATTGTTTATGTGTGTGATTCCCATTCACTGTAACTTTGTATAACATGTATTTTTCTTCTTTTACAGCACGATAAGAACATTGTCCACAGGGACTTAAAGGCTGAGAATGTATTTTACACCAACACATACTGCATTAAAGTAGGGGATTTTGGCTTTAGCGCATGTTGCCACCCCGGTGATGTACTTCACACATTCTGTGGCTCTCCACCTTATGCAGCGCCTGAGCTTTTCAAAGAGAGAGGCTATATTGGACAGTACGCAGATATCTGGGCGTTGGGTATTTTGCTTTATTTTATGGTGACTGCAACAATGCCGTTTCAAGCTGCCACCACCAAGAGACTGAAGGCTTGTATCCTGCAGGGCTCCTATGCCATTCCTTCCTATGTGCCCCAATCCTGCCAGGAGATCATTAAGGGCCTCCTGAGGCCGGTTCCTGTGGATCGCCTCACTTTGGCACAAATGATGACAAGCAATTGGATGAGAGGCATTAAATACTACCAGGCTGACTCAGCTTATAAATCTACACCGTCCCACCTGACTGAAGCTGAAAACATTCTCACCTCAGATGAACTGCATGTGAAGGCTGCCCTGGAGGATCTTGGCATCACCAGCGTTCATCTTCTCAACAACAGTCCAGACTTGAGAAGTCCTATCACAGGGGCTTATCGGATTTTGGTGCACCGAATCCAGAAAAGGAGATCCGTAGAGGCAAGAGGCGATAGCTGGCTGTGCATCAAAGAGTCCCAGAACAGACTCGGACAGAGAACAGGCTCCAATAATCTGCTGCGCAAGCGCCACTCTGTAGTCTGTGCCGTTATGTAGATTAATTTATCATAAAAAAAGCTCAAAAGTTTAAAAAACAAAAAAGAAGCTTTTTTTTGCACTTCCTTTCTGAGACATACAGGAGGGATGCTAATGTCTTACAGTAATTTAAATTGCCTGCACAATTATTATTATTATTATTATTATTGCACAGTTTTTAGCTGCATTCTTTTGTTCATCATAAACAAAAACACAATTATGAAATTTGTGATTCCGGTTTGATGTTTACTGTAATAATGCTCCAGCTGTCACATGCTTCTTGTATACACTGTATACCAGAGCATGGTTAGAGGTCAATACCAGTGGCAAACTCCATGAACATATCTGGCACGGATTTTTCTGCTAAAATAACATTCAATGTTTCTGCAAGCTGCTTTCAAACCAGCTGAGCATGAAGAAATGTACTCAGGGCTGTCGGTGACACACAGATTCCGCCTTTAGGAAGATTAGGGGAATTACAAAATGGCAAAACAACATGGGAGATTTTTATTCATAGAATAAAAACAGTGTCATTCAGAGAAAGGTGCATGCTTTACCCTGAAGCGTTTAAATGTAATATGTTTTGTTTGCAGCTGATTTTATGTTATTTTTTCTATATGTGTGACAAGATCTACATATAGTAATTAAATTGCATATGTTTTAGGCTGTTAATTATTTGACAAAAGATAAGTATAGATAAAAAAAACAAGCCCTGATGGAGTCCAGCTCTTACTCTGAAAGAGTCCTATTTAATGCTGGCAATGCAAAGCAGACTCTTGCACCGTTTGTGCAGGGGATGATTGTCACGTAGCAACGGAACCCTTAATTCCATAATCACAGAGCATCTCCCACAGCGTACCCTGGGGAACACAATCAACTGGCTTCTTCAAGTAAAAAAAAAAAAAAACACATTTAAACTGGTTGGGCAAACTCCCATGCTCCCTCAAGACCCCTGGTTGAAGAGCTATAGTTCCATCACGGCCGGGACAGAACCCGCATCGTTCAACCTGAATCCGAGGGTCAACCGTCGAATAGACTCTCTTCTCCAGCACCCCAACGTAGATCTTAGCAGGGAGGTTGAGTGTGGTCCCTTAGAACACACATTTAGAACCCCCTTCTTCAGAAAGGAGAACCACCACCTCAGTCTGCCAATCCAGTGGCACTGCCCCCCAATGTCCATGCCAGCGAAGATCAGCATCATCCAGAGCCTTGTGGGACTCAGCGGATCTCGTCCACCCCCAGAGTCCAGCTGCCACAGAGCTTTTTATCTACCTTGGCGACTTTAGCCCCGACAGACCAACCCTGAAGCTTCCAGACTTCCTACATGACAGATGTGCGTGTAGGATTGAGAAGGTCCTCAAAGTATTCTTTACATATTCCAGCAATGTGATTTTTATTCTGTAAAATAAAAACAACAAAACTTACTCCTGCCTTTTTAAGTCCTCATGTGGTTCACTGACACCACGACCGTAACAAAACCAGTAAAAATGGTTAAAGTAAACAACAAATAAAGCCTTGATGCGTTTCAGACCTTTTCTTTTTATTGCATTCTGTCACGGTTTATTCACATCATGTTTGCACACTGACGTTTTTGTTGCACATGTCTCGTTCCATTTGTGGTTTTATTTCCCATGACCTGAATTAAACAGATATTTTAGTTGTCAGAAAAAGTGCTGATTGGTTCCAGTTTCTGTTTCATACAGTAGATCGGCCTGAGAGCATCATAAATGCTTCTGTCGAAAAACGCAGCTGTTTCACAGACCACATCGTTACCATGAAAATCTCAGAGCTATAGTTTTATGAATATTTAACATGCACTGTGTTAAGTCTGAAACTGCGACAAATTTTTTGGAAAAAAGCATCTTGCATTAGCAAGGTCTACACAAACTTTCAGGCTGACGGACCAATCTGATACGGTGATTCGTGTAAACAGTGCTAAAACTAGTGCAGTTGCAGTATCTTTAAGTTAAATGTCAGGACTTAGAGGAGTTTATGTTCATGTTTTAACACCAAGGTGTTAATAAACAAAATGTAGTCCATAAATAAAAAATACCATAACTTCAGTAAAACATGGAGGTTTTGTCACACTGCAGTGCAGCTTTGTTTCCATTAGTGCATAAAGCACAGGCATATTATAGAATTAAAGGAATCTGATGATTACAAAGACATCTTGTAGTTTTATAATTGCAACTTCTGTAAGAAAATTTAATTTAGGCAGGGCAACAAAACTGGAACACTAAGCTAACATGAGACAATAATACCTGAATAATATTTGACAATTAAAAAAGTGGACCACTGCAAAAAAAGCTCTTGGGAAAATTTAAAAAGCTTAAATCTGTTTTAAAGAAAAGGAGGCAAAACAACCAGCACACGAAGCTGCTAAATGGTTACAAGAACGAAGCTGTTATTTTAATCTATTTCTCAAATGAGGGGTTTACTGGAAGAAACTCTCTAAGGATGAACATCCAAATAAAACTTGTCACCTTGACCAAAATAATGAAGGCAAAAATAAAGACACAGATTCAGGACTTTGTTTGAATGGAACTCATTTTACTGCTCAAACTTCATGTGATCAATCACTGATTTAAAACAGAGAGGCTTTTCTGTCTGTCTCATTAGAAGTGAACTCATTTTCTTTAAAGAATAAAAAAATAGAAATGATTAAACTTGGGACATCATTATAAATTTGAGCAATTAAAATTCATTTATTAAATTGGCAATTATCACAAGCAAATATGCTTATGGAATGAATACTATTACCAAATAAAGCTCGGAGGGTTATAAGTTTTATAAATCTGTATTTTTAATAGTTTATGTCCATGGTGATTTGGATGTAAAAAGGTTTGATTTGCTTTTGTTTAAGAATATTATCAATCTTGTGCTTAAATTTAGGAACGCCAACAACCAAGATAAAGTTTATGTTTTTCATGCTTTTCTCAAAGGACGTCCTGAAGTCGATATTTAGGTGAATTATCTACACAAATTAAAGACACTAAATAAAAAAGTCTAGTTTTTTTTTTTATTCAGCCCGTATTTCTTTCACAAATGTGTGCATCAGATTTGCTGTAGTCACAGTTCAAGGTGAAAGTGTTTTGACAGATTATAAATCAAATGAATTAAGTGCAATTTTCAAATAGCGTCGAAGTGTGAAAAAGTTTTACAGCTGCTTTCATCTTTTTTATTCATTTCCTGTTATTTATTCATAAATCATGATTTATAGCTGTCACGGGGGTTATTTGGACACAAACTGACTAAGACTTTTAGATGATGAAGGTGTCAAAACACGAGCTTTGACCTCACTATTTATGTTTTCAAGCCTTCTGTCTGAATTTATTACATCGTTTTTCCACGCCTTTTGGGTTTATGTTTTTCAACATTTTAATGTACATTTGTTTTAGAGTCAACCGAGACTTCCCGTTTATGTTTTCATACTTTTCTTTCATGGATTTCCACCCTTCGTAGAAAAGGGTCAGAGATTCTTCTCATGAAGCCAACCACCTAATTCCTTCTGCCTCAGCAAAATGTTGTTTTGATATTAATAAGAAATAGAGCATATAGATGTTCCAATACAAAGTTGACCTATGAGGGTGGCATTTCTATGAATCATACTCAGTGTTATTGGCTATTGGATGTCCACCAATACTCCATATGCTATTGCGTCATACGCTATTGGACTATTGTGCTGCACTTTAATTAAACATGTCTAAAGCTTTTGATACCACAGAACATGACATCTTTTGCTCTAAGCTCTCAGACGTTGGTTTCTCAGACCATACTATTGGTTTGGCTTTCTTTTTACCTCTTAGATCGAAGGCAATGCATTCAACATAATGGTACTTCTTCCAGCTATTTAACTTTCAATGATGGTGTACCACAAGGCTCAGTCTTAGGTCCCACCCTTTTCACAATCTACATGTAAATAATGTAGATTAGAGCATTCCTGATGCATCCTTACATTTCTATGCCCATGATATAGTTGTTTATTGTCGAGCTAAAACATTTGCTGAGGTTTTCCAGCTTTTACAGTTTGCATTTGACATCATCCAGTCAGATTTGTTCTGTCTCAAACTGGTGCTAAATACTGATAAAACCAAAGGGGTGTCGTTTTCAAACTTGAAGTCGGTCCCAGCAGACCTTCTTTCTATCCTATCTACAAATTGAAGGATTCAACGTTCTTTATTTGTCATACACACCACATGTGATACATGTGGTGGAACGAAATTGTGTACACAGGGTCCCAGTTACATTCAACAAAATTATAAAATGTAAAAGAAAAACAGCAATAAGATCTAAGATATAAACTAAGGAAAATGTTAACTAAAAATACACTAAGCATTAGTAGTATAAAAACAATACGCCAAACAGCAGCATGAACATGAGTCTGTGTGAGCAGATGAGTATGAATGAACACAGCAGCATGAAACAGATCATCAGCAACATGATGTGATTCTTCACAGTGTTTATCCTGGTTAGAGATTCATGAGTCTAACAGCCTCAGGGTAGAAGTTGTTCCTCAGTCTAGTGGTTCTACACTTAATGCTCCTCAACCTCCTGCATGAGTGGAGCAGGGCAAAAAGTGCGTGTGCTGAGTGAGTGGGGTCCTTCATGATGCAGGTGGCCCTCTTCCTGCATCTGAAGGTGTAGATGTCTGTGATGGTGGGGAGGCTAACTTCAACAGACTTTAACAGACTTGTGGTGTTCCTGTTTGTCGATTCCTATAAATACTTGAGAATTTTGGTTGATTCACATCTCTCTTTAAAGCCTCATGTTGAAAATTTGGTAAAGCAATTGAAAGTAAAATTGAGTTTCTTTTTCAGAAATAGATCCTGTCTAACTCTGAATGCTAGGAAACGCCTTGTAACTGGTAGTTTTCTTCCATCCATACCGTGACATTATTAACATGAATGCTCCTGCAAGCACCTTGCAGATGTTGGATGCTGTCTTTCATGGTGCATAACTGGCTGTAACTACTGTACCCATCACTACACACTGTACTCATGGGTCAACTGGTCATCATTAACTTCACGCAGACTCTCACACTGGTATATTTTCATTGTTAATGCACTTCTTGGTCTGCTGCCTTCATACATCTCCTCCTACATGTCACGTCATCAGTGCAGCTACAGTGTGTGCTCCCAAGACATCATTACCTGCAGTGTCCCATCAGTGCGGACCAAATTTAGCAATAGGGCCTTCTCCTACTTCGAGCCTGTAAACTGGAACACCTTGCAAAAAGATCTGAAGCTCTCGACCTTGACCTCTCTAAACTACTGTTAATGCAAAAATCAATCCAGACATGTTCCTGTTTTTAGTATCTTACACTGTTTTATAATGTAGCATGTTTTTTTATTTGCTTTATGTCACTTCTTTTATAATCTTTTCATTTTATATGCTTATAAATGTTTATTGTTGTGTACGTACTGTATATCTCATTTATGTTTTTGTTTAAAACAAGTCTCTCTTGTAAATGAATTCTCGTGACTCAATGAGACTAACCTGTATTATTAAAGGTTGAATGAATGAATATGCAGCTAATGTCTTAGTAATTACCCTGGCAATCAGTCATTGTTGCCTCTGAGCTCAGTTGGCAGCATATTCAAACAAACTCTTCAACTGTATGCTGATGACTTTTAAATCTCAATTGCATTACATTCAATTAGTTTTAACAATTTTTTTCGTCACTTGCTTCTTATCCGTGCGTTCGCAGAGAAGACCTGACAGGAGCTTAAATGCATTCAGACCTTTTCCTTAATCATCAATGATCCCATATTTATTACATTACGACACAGGCCTGTAGGGGCTAACAATTTTACGATTGAGACACACTGTGTCTATCATCATGCTGCTATTTGCAAAACAAAACCTTTGCAGAGGCACCTGTGGAAGTCATCAATCTCCAAAGGCAGCAAAGTCAAACACAGTGAGATTTTATCAGCTGCAAGCCCCGGCAGTTCTTGTAAATGCCCACGGAGATGAGAGAGAAACAGAAATCAGCCATTAAATCCAGCTCCGTGACAGATCAGATATGTTACTCATCGTATTTGCGCAAGCTTTCACTCAGTTTGTCTGTTTGCTCTTTATTTGTTTTTATTCTCCATTTTGTTTGAATTCAGTAACTAAATGTTAGGCCTAATTTCTTCACTGTGCGTCCAGATTAAACCAATTCAAATTCACTCTCAGTCTTGACCCCTGGCCCCTTTTAAAGTTGCATTTCATCGTGATGAGGAAAGACGATGCCGTTTCAGAGAAGCTGAATGAAAACTTTGCTGTCGAGTAAAGAAATGTGGATCACCTCAACGCACACTTCTCCACTGTTTCACTCTTGTTATTCCTTTGTCGTATTCTTTTAATTTTCTGTATCCGCTTTCCTCTTAGGGTCTCAGGGCTGGTGCCAATCAGTGAGAAGCATGGTAGGTTGCCAGTTCATCATAACACCAACACTGTAACAAACTCACCATAAAGGAATGAATTTTTAAGTGTTCAGTGGAGTGTGCTGCACAATGGAGCAGTTGAACAATGTTGCCTTGCAGCAAAAATGTAGCAACTTAAACTCCTGGCTGCAGCTTTCTGCATGGAGCTTGAATATTCTCCCTGTGCATGTGTCGATGTCCTCCCACTGCACAGTCCAAAAAGGTTAATCAGTTGCTCCATAATTGTCAGGTGTCAGGCTGTCTTCATTTTCTGACTGGCAGCCTGTCCAGGCACTCCTCTTTTAATCCACTGACCTGCAGGAGATACAAAACAGCTCCCTTTGACCTTGAATGTGAACAAGCAGGTTAAAAGGATGGATGAATGTTTGTGGGGTTGCTATCATTTACCAGTAGCATATCTGATGTATGCAAGGGTCAGCGCAATATTAGTTTGACATATCTGTCAGAAGTGGTGCCAGTTCCACAGCAAACGTCTGCCATCTTAAAAACAAACCTCAGATCTCCAACATTTCGCAGCAGTTCTTGCAAACTCCTTTCTTCAACTTTGCACCTCCATTACTGTTGGATTTGATGGTTATTTACACAGAAGACCGAGCCAGTCTGAGGTCTATATCTAGTAATGACCCATGGGAAACTTGTAAAATAGAACATGTTTGGCAAAAAACAGGCCAGAGAAGGGTCTGATGGAAAAGTACTGCAGTTTGAAAAAAAGATTAAGCAATTTAAGTGAATGTTTTTGTATTGATTCTTATATTACTGACTTACATTCATCAATTTTTTTGCCATGTTTCACTGAATTTTGCAACATAAATTAGCAATTTGAATCTAATTTGGGTAGTATGCAGACGGACTCTGCCTTCAGTTTAAATAAACAGTCTTCTATTTTAATAATTGTGATGGTGGTGCGGAGGTTTATAAAATAGGAGTTATTTAAACAGCTATTTAATTTCTTGAGGATGTTGTCTTAACATGTCATAAATTTGCTTTTGAGTAGCCGGTAGCTTGATTCCAAGAAAACTTCTGCTGGAGCTTCCAAAAGCTCTGAACAATTTTTTACTCCAAGTGATAAAAAGAAAATACTCTACATAGCATCTCAGCAAAAAAAAAAAATCTGAACTATTCCTTTAAAGTCAGTTTAGAATTGTCATTTACCCTAAATGCATGTTTTTGTTGTATCTGTTGGAAGAAAACCGGAGTACCCAGCACTTTACTGCTGTGAGGCACAATGTCTACAGAACATTTATGCAACCCATAAAATGTGTTGTTTCACAAAAAAAATAGGCTTTATGTCTTGTTAGATGTTTATACAACTAACCACGTGACTTCTGATAAGGGAGTATTATATACATTTTTATTGCAAAGGATTTTATTCCTCCTTATCTACACATGAGACTTTGTAACAATAGATAAACATTAAGCAGAACTTGATAAAGTTCATTAGTGTATTTATTTCCTTTAAACATATAAAATGTAATGCAAGTCGTATACAAAATACATGAAACGATAGACAGTTGAATTCTGTGGAAATCAAAACAGAGCTTCACCTTTTTTATGACACGAGCTTCAAAAAACAAATTACAACCTTAAATTTCACTAAAAGAAAGTACTTAACAAATATATAAACACATATAATATGTAAAATGAATCGTAATGTTTCATATATAATTTAACGCTTATCATTTTTTATAATCAAACTGCTTATTCAGTAGTTAATGTCTTTAAAAGTGTTAAAACTGTCATGTTTTCTCTGAAGCAGCCATGCATTGAAAGGCGTTTTATATTATGTTGGTCTGTCAGCTTCAAGAGACCAACCTCACGATCAAATAATTGCTGCTTTAGAGCAGCTTTGGCCTTTATCTGAATGCTGAGTGAAAGCAAAAGCAACGCTACATTTTCTTCGCTGGCATCCTCTTCCAGTAAGTCACCATAAACCATAAAACCGCTTGTTTTTTGCTCAATAACAGGATTGCAGGCAGCGGGAAGTGAAGGAGATCCATTTTGTAATGCAGTCACCTTCAGCCTTTGTAAGGGCGCTGTTTAAAGGGAAGATACGTATTTAAAAATACTGTATGTCACAATTTTTGCTTCTGTCAAACTTCACATAAAGGCCGTCTGCAGTGCTTACCCTTCTGGGTTTCTTGTATTTAGTCATGCTGCTGACCTGAATCTCTCTTTCATCAACTTTATTCATCAGCTCCTTGACCCAGTTCTCTCTGGGGTTTGTGCAATACTTCCGTCCCTTCCTCATGGTGAAGCTATAAGAATATAACATTTAAAGGTTAATGAGTTCTGCTTTAAAGTGCATATTCTGATTTTATTTGCCAAATGAACTCACATTACAGCAGGGATGTTGCAGCCACCATCAGTCTTTTGATATTTGTACTTTACGGCATTCTTCTGAATGTGCTTTTCCATATTTTTCAAATACTTCAGACAGCAGTCATCATAGGACCCTGAAAAACCAGAAAACCAGTTCAGTTTGGAGCCACCTCACACTGAACATGACATATTTTTGCACATTTTAAGCACAAATAAAATTAATTCAATCAAGTCAATCTGCAAAATTTATAGAATGTATGAATGTGAACCAAACCTGTTCACTTTCATCTCTTTATTGCATGAATATACAACCTTGTTTACAGAAACTTTAATTTTATTTTTTTGTAAAACATTACCTTGTCCAAATGCAAAGCAGAGAAAAGAAAGGATGGACAAGTAGAAGAGCACGTTGAACTGCATGGTTTAGTCTGTCGAGGCAACTCTGGAAAAAGACCGAAAGGTTTACAAGTTATACCTGCAATAAGTCTTATCACTGATTATTGCACCTAATGTCTTCCCACACCTTCTTGTTAACAGAAAACTTTGAACCTTAAACAAATAAACAGTATTGTCTGTAAGTTACCTCCATTATATAGACATGGCTAATTTTCCAGAAGGAGCTAAAAAAATAACCATAAACATAATTGCATTTTTAACATTCTGATTAATTTTATTGTTTGTGCAAAATAAATGAAACAAACCTTCACACTCATTCTTACCATAAAAGCAAATTGCACATTACAATTTTGCACATTTACATCACATAAATGCTAATCCTTGTGATTTGCAAGTGAATAATTAATAGCGTTTAAATAACATGAAACTAACCCTGTCCTTATGATTGCAGGTTACTCACCTGTGATAGTCTGAACAAAGGTTGGAGCTCTAGGTTCTCTTGTCTACAAACCTGTACAGGCAGCGCTCTTTTATAAAGCACTCAAGCAATCACTGGCTTCCTGCCAAAAGATTAAATTACTTTAGTGCAACCCACCTTTGTACTTATCATTTCTCTTGTCCTTTCAGTTTTTAAACCTTGGCATAAACATTATATTGCTGTGCAGTTTCAAGCTTCACTCACTACGTTTATGATGCACATAAAAATAATTTTGTTTTACTGAAATCAGGAATTAGTGTTAGATTTTATCTCCACCCTTTTTTCCTGTATAGGTTTCACAGAGTTGGGTTTAAAAAAAAAAAAAGAAACTTTGAGATAACTACCTTTGAAACTACCAGTATGTGGAGTTTCTACAAATGTAGGATGTGCAAAAAGATGCGAGTAGCATAAATCACGTTCATGCATTGTGATACCATAACTGGACTTCCTGTGCAGGTGGCATGGTGGTGCAGTTGATAGAGCTGTGGCCTCTCATTGAGAACGTTGCTAGATCAAATCCCAACCGGGACCTTTCTGGGTGGAGTTAGCATGTTCTCTCCGTGCATGCATTGATTTCCTCCCACAGACCAACATGCATGTTAGACTGATTGGTAACTCTAAATTGTCCCTAGGTGTGAGTGAGAGAGTGAATGGTTTGTCTCGTTTGTTTCTATATCCATGTGATGGACTGGAGACCTGTCTAGGGTGTTACCCCATTATCCTAAAAGGATGGATAGATGGATGGATGGATGGATGGATGGATGGATGGATGGACAGATGGAAGGACAGACTTCATGTTGGAGTCTACATGGTTCTCTTTGTAAATCCATGAATGGTTACTAAGACAAGATACTATATATATGTATATATATATATATGTATATATATATA